ATTAACAATTGGGGACCCACCACTTGCAGGTACCTGTATGTATGTCACAAATCACCCATGCTGCAAGCACCCAGAGCTGGCTAAGAAAGGTTGTTAGTAGGCCTCATAAACTTGTCTGTCTCCATTGCCCCAGGCTCGAGCAGACTCTGACCTGACCTCCAGTGTGTCCCGCTGGAGCCTGGAGTGGGGCCGTGGCCCAGACCCTCTGGCCTGCCATGAGTTCCCTAAGGGCATTGTGGTCCGGTTGGCCTGGGCTCCCTTGGGGTGATCATTGGAAATCCCGATTCATTTCTTTTTCATATTTGCATTAACTTTGAGTTCACTTACTTGAAGTTCCTATAAAGAAGCAGTGAGGGGTGCTCCTGCAGGCAGATGCCAAGCAGTAGGCTGAGCCGCTGCAGAGGGGCAAGGTTGTGCCCGCCTAAGAGAAGCCCACGGGGCCCAGGATGGGGAGACGGGGCTCTGAGCAAGCCAGCTGAGGAAGCCTGGCTCGGTGGGGCGGGGGAGGCAGATACTCATAGGCCCCGTGGTGAGTGGGCACTCGTCCCTCTGTGGAGGAGAGAACTACCAGAGCCCCGAGGTGGAGAGCTGACTACTAATTTTTGGATGGAATTCCCATTGTTGTTTTTCAGATCTATTTCCCAGAAAGCTACCTGAGCCCTGTTGCTGGAATGCCCAGTCCTTGGGTTGGGGTGCTGTTTCCTGAGGTCAGCTCTGACTCTCAGTTCTGTCTCAGAAGCCGTGGTCTGGCTCCACCAGGGTTTTGTGTCTGAAGCTAAATGGCAGGTGCTACTCTGGGGAACTTGCCCTTCCCCATCTTGCCTGATGCGAAGGGCTCTGAAATGACACCTTGAGGGAGTAGCTGTTGACACCCTGACTGGGGCCTCTGCCTTGCCCCTGAGCTGCCCTCACTCCCCTCCTCTGCGTTCTGAAGAACAGTAAGTTGGAGGGAACAGCCCACTCGAGCTGATTCTTCACCGTCCATGAGGTGCCGATGCCAGGTGACAACGAATCAGAAAGGGCAGCCGCACAGGGCTTCAGGCCCGGCTCCGCGGCACAGTCTCCTCTGCGCCAGCACCGAAGCTTTGGCATCCCCTCTCTTCCTACGCTTCTGTGCCAGGAAAAAGCAGCCCACCACCTGATCAGCGGAGGAAAGGAATGCGTAGGGCTCAGGCAGTCCCGACTGCCAGCAAGACAGCTTGTGCCCCACGGGGGGCCGTGGGGGCCTTGGAGATCATCTGGGGATTTCAGGAAAGAACATTCTCCATGCGCTTCTGCGCCACTGGACAAGCATAGCCGCAGTGGTGTGAGTGTCCAGGAGCCCCACGACAGACACCCACCAGTACCCCTCAGCCGGTTGCCCTAGGAAACTCAAGGCTTCCATTTCAAAGACTGGGAGGCCCTTTTTCAGAAGGATAGGAGAAAAATCCAGCCCAGCTCATGGGTGCTTACCCATCAAGGGCGGAGAAAAAAATAAATAGAATGGCTTTTAGTCACAGCTGAATCCTGGGTAGAAGGCCCAGGTTTAACCCCAGGGGGTTTATACCCAGCTCAGCCTAGATTTCCTTCATAACGGCAGGCAAACATCAGAATACCAAGCTGGAGCCCCTCGAGCCATGCCTGTGGGAGCTCCTGGTGTCCTTGCAAGGAATGGGCACAGCTCTGGAAATCACTCCCTGCACTGGAAGGTTTGGGCCAGTGGTCCCCGTGGCCCGGATGTTTGGCTGTTGTTCCCACCTCTCCAGGGCTGTGGAGAGAAACTCCATTTTTTGATAACAGCTTTACTGAGATAAAATTCACATACAATTCATTCCTTTTAAGTGCGCCCTTCAGTGGCTTTAGTCTATTCACCGAGTTGTGCAACCATCACCACAGTCAATCTTAGAACATTTTTACACCCTGTCCCCAAAGGAAACTTTGTACCCATCCATCAGCAATCGCCCCCCTTTTCCTCAGCCCCTGGAAACCACACATCTTTCTGTCTGTAGAGATTTGCCAATTCATTGCAAATAAGTGGGAAGCAGACAGATTCAGCTTCGCAGGTCAAGGCCTTTCTCTGCTGTCCCCCAAAGATGAACTTGGGATTTGAAGTATTTATCAGAGGTTGTTGCTACCGTTTGTATCAAATTTCAGCACATTTGACAAAGAATCTCTTAATATCTTCACTCCTGAACATTGTTGTAAAATCAGAATGCTCGTACAACTTCTGTCCATTTTTATTCATTTTCCAGGTAGCAGAAGGTCAGGAAATATGTGTGATCGAAGCCATGAAAATGCAGAACAGTATGACAGCTGGGAAAACTGGCAAGGTATGTCCCCAAGTTCCCACCAGCCCACACCAGCCCTGTGACAGGAAGCAGAACTTCTACCTTTGAATCTTGGGACTGTTAGGCCTGAAAGGGACCACAGGCATGATCTCTCCCCACGTCTCCCTCCTGCAGACCAGGACATTCGTTGGGAGCTCTTTCCGCCCTGTGTGGGTGTGTCCCTGCCCCCTGGAGAGCAGGCCTCCCGTGAGTCTGCATAACATTCCGGTAGTCAAAGCACAATTGTGCTTCACCTTAATGCCTTTCAAATTAAGGGGTCTTTAATTTTTAATGTTTACATCTGTCTTAGAGGCAGATAGTTATCTGAGACTTAGGTGACACAGCGGGAAATGGTTTTAGAGATTGCAAAAATTAATGTAACTCTTCAAGATAATTTATCCGCAAAGAGAACAATTCAGTTTTAGATCGAGAGGAGCTGAAAGCCCCTTATATGCATGTGAGCCTTAACGATTTAGGGAGAAAGAAGGAGATGATGTATAAGTACTGAAATTTAAGAAGACTAAAATTTCATAAATGTATTTTCTCCTTGAAGAAAATAGAAAAGTCCTTTAAAGCGGTAACTTCATTATCCTTTCTATAACTAAAAAGACACCAGTCGTAGAAGAATGATCCTTTTCTGGAGGACATTGCTTTAGAAGACTGGAGCGAGGCTGGGCGGGGGAGGGCGGCAGTGTGGGCTGGCCATGTCCTGCATTTGTGGCCACACCTGGAAGAGGAGATCCAGCCTTGGGGACAGTGGTGCCCTGGCAGAGAGGTACTGTCAGCTCACGGTGAAATCTGCAAGGAGACAGAGCGTTTATTCGTCACCCCAAAAAGAAATGAAACGATGCTCAGAGAAATGCTGAGGAGGACCCCAGGCGAGGCCCAGCTGGGAGGGTGGGGGCCAGGTTGGAGAGGTGCTGCAAACAGCCATGACCCGTCTCCGTGGAGCTGGAAGAGAAAGGCATGATTTCGTGGGTGGTTTTTTTTAGGGATCCTGCTTTCTATATGATTACTTTTTATAGTGTGAACAAGAAAATGTTGGTTTCTGCTCCTTTAAAATTTTTATATTTGTTCCTTGAGATTGAGATTGACACTGCATTAGCATCATGAGATTTCCATCCATGATGAGAACTTGGCCTCATTTTGGGGGGTGCTGAATGTATGTATGTCAGATGCGTGTCAAGGGCCCATGTTGCTGGACTGAGGTACTAGTGCAGAAATGGACTTGGTCACAGCTCCCTGAAGGAGCATGGGGCCTGTGCCTGTCAGGGTGTTTTACGTCTTCCTGGCCTGGGTGTCATGGTGTAGGCTTAGCTGCTCCCTGGTCATTAGTGTCTAGAGCTGCTTTCAGGGTGTTGATGGGCTCTGGGCAAATGTGTTCTGTGGCCTGACCCCTATTAGCTGGAGTCCTTCCTACTCATCCCATTTCTCCTACCCCCCGGCAGGGCGCACCAGGAATGGCTGGAGCCCCAGCCCAAAGGACCAGGCCCTGGGGAGCTGAGGGGCTGGTGGTTCTTACCTGGGAGGGCCATTTTCCCCCCAGAGAAAAGGTTCACAATGGAAACAGGTCCTCCACTCTAGAAATCGCAGCATCATGAAAAAATAAACGCTGGAGGTTTCAGATCATAAAAAGCAGCCACTTCAGTGCAAATAGCACCTGCTGAACAAGGCCTTTGAAGTAGTCATCGCACAGGTTCACACCGGCCTGAAAGACCTGGGCTGGAATTCAAGGGAAGAAGGAGGCCCTTCGAGCCCTCTGGCTTATGGCGGAGCTTCAGGACACAGGCCGGGGGCACCAAACCTGCTGTCGCTGGTGTTCCTATGTGCCACTTATTAGTTTCAACCCATTGTTCACTTTCTCACCCAAGCAAGAAACTCCAAGAAGTCAAATCACTATCTTTTCCCTGCTCCAACCCCCTACCCACTTGCTTGAAGTCTGAACACAATTTGGGAAGGCAAACCTGATGAGAACTGGGAGAAACGAGTGGAATGAAAGGGCACAGTAGCAACATCGTGGGAGCTCAGTGCTTGTTTCACATCACACCTCCAAGTGCTATCCCTGCAGCCCCAGTCTTCTGAGCATTTCATTTCCCTTCCGAAGGAAGTTTCCAATCAGGCTAGGGAGTTTCTCCTGTTAATTAGTACCTGTTTGGACTCTTGTATAATTGTGTTTTGTTTTGGGGTTTTTTATGCACTAAACTAATACACTATTAACTCTCAGAGACCATTTCTACAGCCTAAAACTGCAGAGATTGTGAGGGCTGGGTGTTGAGAGCTTATCCAGGATCAACATTTGTGGCTCTTAGGGTGCTGCCTAGACCCCTGTGTGCACCCAATTCGAGGTGACTTGTAAGACAAGGACAGGAGAGCAGGGAGGGGAAGGTGGTGAGTCACAGTGCTGCACGAGGACGTCCCTGAGCATGAGGTCCCCTCTGACTGCGAGAGCTGAGTGTTCCTGTGCTCCAAGCCTGCCAGGTCGTCTCTCCGCTTCCAGAAACGGATGAGATTGCTCCCTCCTGGTCTAGTTAATCATCCTCACTCCCCTTTTTTTTTTTTTTTCTTTTAAATTCAAGGTGAAATCGGTGCATTGTAAAGCTGGGGACACAGTTGGAGAAGGAGATCTGCTTGTGGAACTGCAATGAAGTATTTTATAGCCTTTCAGCCGTCGCCCAATTTAATTGGCCATTTATATTATTCTTTCACTTAGTTTATTCAAGCATTTTGCAGGGACACCCCTGTGCAGCAGATTTTACATGGTCATATTTATTCCACATATAGTCAAAACCAACATTCTGCCAAAAAATCACCAATGGAAATTTTTATTGATATAAATACTTGTACATATGATTCTGCTGTGAGATTTCCTAGTGTCAAAGTTAAATCAATAAAACTGAGCATTTGTCTAAATATTAGTTTGCCCTTTTTCTGAATGAAGACATTGTACATAGGAGGCTATGGGCTGTGCCAGTAGACTTTAAATAATAGCATTTCATTGTGATCCTTTAAAACATTTATATAAATCCCAACTCATGGTCTTCAGTTTTATTAAATTAGCATTTGCCACCTTGTAGTTCTGGTTGAAGACCTAACCCCCATTTGTGGTTATCTGTAACTTCTCAAGCCCGGACAGCACAGATGCTTGTGGAATCCCTCCTGCGTGGCTCTACTGGGTAAGTACTGGGTCTGCTGGGTCCCCGGGGGCATCACTCGGAGAGGTGACTCGCACTGTCCCTCCTCTCCATCCCACGGGACTCCCTCACCCCAACTGTAGTGGGTGGGGCACCCATCCTTGCCTTTTTGTGTCTTCATGAAGCAAGTTTCCAGTTAAGAAAAAAAGCTAAAAATGATGTTTTTTGTGCCACATGCAGTCATCACAGTGTACCATTAAAATGAAGAGGAAGTGCTTTCTCCCAAAGGAGAGTGAGGTTTCTGAGGATCAGCAGCTGCATTTTCATTCGGTTCTGGAATTCTCAGAATACATTCCATACTTTGCTGGTAAGTAAGCAGAGGCAGTCACGCACTGATTGGAATCTGCACTGACAGATCCTCAGATGGAGGTGGGTAGTAATTGGTGCTTCGTGCCTTGCTAAAATTATTTTAAGTGCTGTTTGTATGTGGAAGCTAAGCTTTCTGTCAGGCCTGAAGGACAAATTACTAACATGTTGGTTCTTCTCCAAAAGGCCCACCCCCGAATGCCGCTCTCTTGGGAAGCAGGGACAGTGCCTCGCCACTGGGCTCTGGGCTGGGGTGAGCTTCCTTCTGAAATCAGGGTGTTCAGCTGTGTCTGCCAGCAAGTGGGTGCTCATTATTTTGCTAGATTAGAATGAAAAGAACCTTCTACCAAATAAGTAGACCCAAGAAAAGGACCAAAAATAGCACTAACACTTTTATATTTGATTTACTAAAACATCTAGTTTAATTTTAAATGATCATCTTTAATAATAATAATCCCTTCTTGAATTAGCTTGATCTGAAGCTTGTGAAAAACAATGTTATATATACTCCAAAACTACTCTAAAACACATCATGTTTTTCTTGAGTTTCTTTTATTACACTGCGACTTCCAAGATCAGCTTAAAAATTTTTTTCTTGGTGCTATAGGTCAAAATCAATAGAGTAGGGCTGCTAACATCTAGGTGCAACCCAGAGTCTTAACATTCATTTTAAATGTTATCTTCAGATTAAAGCAAAGCAGACAAAGAAGAAAAGTATGATAACATACGAGTTCTTGAAATGTCATTTAGGGGAATTAAAATCCTAAAATTTTCATATCCAATACATTCAAGGCCATGGTGCTCTTTAAGCAGCAAGCAATAAAGCAATATTGGACAGATAGATTTCAGGGCACAATCTTGTAATCTGTATGTCAAATTATCTGGGAAATTAGCTGCCATTAAAAAGGAGTATTTCTTTTTCCGCAGATTGAGTTTTACAAATATTTGTTTCAAAGAGCATCATTAGGCCTTTGCATTTAGTGCGTGCAGACCAAGCTGAGGTAATCTTACAATCATCAGGGCTCTATCTGTCCTCTGGCTGGTGAGCATTCCTCGGGTTTTTATCTGTTTTCCCGTGGATTATAGCGAAGCCCATGTGCCCCCTCAGAGTCGTAATTGTCGAGGTATGGGAGCTGGACCCACTCTGGAGGGTAGTTGGCCGTGGTGTACACGAAGCACTGCAGGGTCCTTTCAGCAGCCGGAGGCTCCTCAGAGTCTTCCCACTCCAGAACCGCAACCCTCACCTGGGTGCGCTGGTACATGTCTGGGCAGCCTTCGAACTCATCGAGGAAGCGCAGCATCTGCTCGTCCACAGCATAGATCTCGCCAACCACACAGTGGCCTCGCCCCGACAGGTTCAGCATATGCGGAATGTTATGTTCTCCAGCGATCACCAAGGGGTACGGCTCCACCGTATGGCCCCGGCCCTGGAAGGTCGCACTGCCATTGGTGCGGTCCAGCAGGACCTTATGGTTGGGCTGGCCTTGCTTCAGCGTCCCGTACACGAACACTTCGGCCATACGGGCCAGAGACTGCAGAGGAGAGAGGAAGCAGACTGGTAGACATACGTGTCAGAGAAACAGGCAGGAGCTTTGGTCTCAGTTGGGGTTGGAACCTTGTCTGGGAAGGGCCAGAGAGTATTTCCTGTTCCTGCTGGAGCAGCTGCTCCCAACCCCCAGCACAGCCCATAGTCCACTGTTCTTGACCGTCATGTGGTGGGTTCTGAGGTTCCAGGAAACATCACCGACCCTTTGTAGTCATTTTCTGAGGAAAGGCACTCATTGTGAGAACACACTTGCCAGATGGAGACAGCCTGTCCTGGGATCAAGCCCTGCTGTTTTTCAGAGCAGCTAGTTTTCAGTCATTTTAAAGGGACTTTAAAAATTACACAATAGGCCTGGCTGGCGTGGCTCAGTGGTTGGAGCGTCCGCCTGCATATGTATGGTCTCTGTTAGGCTCCCTTCAAGGGCATGTACCTGGGTTGCAGGTTCAGTCCCCACTCCCAGTTGGGGTGAGTGTGGAGGCAACCAATTGATGTCTCTCTCTCACATGGATGTCTCTCTCTCTCCTCTTCCCCTCCCCCTCCCTTCCACTTTCTCTCTAAAAACCAATGGAAAAATATCCTCACTCCTTGGGTGAGAAAAGTAAAATTACACAATAAATATTAAGAAAAGAAAGAATCAGCAAGTATAAGTGAGAGTGAATGAGTGTGTGTGTGTATGTATAAAATAGTCACTGTTACAGTGGGCTACAAGAGATAATTCAGGTTTCAGTACTAAATTTACATTCTAGTCCTGACAGCATGACCCAGCAAAGCACGCTTCTCGTTCCTTTTTCAAGGTCCTGGAGGGTAATGATGCTTCCCTGTGACTCACCGTGACTCACCAAAGTGACCTTGGCTCCAGTGTGATGGTAAATATTTACTGCTTGCTTGGGTCTGGGCCACAGACTGTTATGTAATCAACAAAGGTAATTTGTGTAAAAGTGACTCAGACAGAAATGGAAATCAGAGTTGAGCGGGGGGCCTCGTCAGAGCCTGGCATTTCACTGCCCTACTTGCCCAGTGCGATGCAGTGACAGCGGGCTTCTGTAAGACAGGCCTTGGAAACGAGACACCCTGCGCAGGAAGACAAAGGATGCGCCCATTTGCCAGTGGCAGCCTCCAGCCAGCCAGAAAGGCTTGGAGGGTGACACACCCCGGACATGCATCGCATGGTGAAGTGGCCCATGGAGAAGTCACGCTTAATTTACAGGTCTTCCACTTTCTCCTCAGCCAACGAGGCCTGGTCTGGGGGTCTCACCCCAGCTTGCCCCATCTCTTCAGGGCACCTGGGGAGGATGGGCAGTCCCAACAGGACTTCTGCTCATCCCCCCACCACCTCCGCTGCCCTGGTCTCAGTCACCAGCCTACAGAATGTCAGGAGTTCCATGGGTTTCAGGCAGTTGTACTTGGAAAGGCATGGCGCTGGGAAAGCTGGCAGGCACATGTATTCCAGGCATTTGACAACACTGGGATACCTCAAGGAGGACAGGGACCTGATGGGAACTCTGGTCTGGTTACTGTGACAAGGGTGGAAGGACAGATTAGGGTTGTGGGGCTTGAGGGGGAGGCGTGCCTCAAGTATGGGAGGTCAAGAAGTGAATCAAGAGCCTGGAATCAGAGGTGCAGAGAGGAGGGAGGTGGAGGTGCTCTGGAGCTGCAGGTGGCAGAACTGCTGTGGCGGGGACAGTGGGAAGAGGGAGAGACTGGAGAGAAAAGGCAGACAGTGCAGCAGGGGAGAACCTTGGGCCCACCCACACAGGGACAGGGACAGTGGGGACTGTTTACAGAGAGGTAGCCTGAGGACTGATCCAGAAAGACAAGCGCCAAGAGGATGGTGGATTTGACTTTGCAGTAGCCCGTAGACCAGACGTTTGGAAGGAGCCATCCCTGACTTCTGTTCCCTGCACCTGCATCCTGCCTACTCTTCCAGGATGCACCCAGGAGCTGCAGCTTCTCACCCGCTTCACTTCTACCACCCTCATCCAAGCACTGTCCCCCAACCCCCTAATCGGCTGGTGTCTTGTTCCCTCCAGCTTATACCCTCATAGTCCCAGTCAGTTTCGGCTGCGAACTCCGTGACTTGCGCGGTTGGTGCAGCTAGCTTGTTGCCCCTCATCTTCCTCTAGCCACCCTTGGAATGATGCCTGCCCACCCTGGGGCCTTTGCAGCCACTACTCCCTCAACCACTTGGCTCCTGCCCCTTAGATGCCTCCCTGAACAGCTGGCCTGAAACAGCACCTACCCAGTCCTCCAGTCCTATCACGTCACCCTGACTGGCTCTCTTTATGGTACGTGTTCTCCAAATCACTGCTTGTCTTCACTGCCAAAATGTGAAGAGCTGAAAGAGAACCTGTAAACCATCTAGTCCTACGGAGCTGGGTCTCAGGTTGGTGAGGACGACTAAGGCTGCACATCGGGGCAAACCAGTCAGAATTGGAGACCCAGCCTCTTCATCACTGGTGCCCCAGCCTTTTCCCTCTTTCCATAAGGTTTTTTTTTAACATTTTATTATTTTTAGTTTTAATCATCGCCTGACGACCTATTTGTTGTGGTTTTTTTAATTGATTTTTGGAGAGCGAGAGGGAGAGAGAAACATTGGTTGGTTGCTTCCCCTACCCACCCTGACTGGGGATCCAACCCGAAATCTGGGTATGTGACCTGACCAGGAACTGAACCCACCACCTTTCAGTGCATGGGCTGATGCTCTAACCAACTGAGCCACACCAGCCAGGGCTTGTTAAGTTTTTTAAAGTACCATATGTCCATAGTGTAAAAGTCAAATAACTTTACAAGAAAAATGAAATTCCCTACCCTTTACCACTCCCTTGAAGCAATACTTTTAAGCCTTTAACTGCTGCATTTGGTATTTATCTCCATATTGTTGGTTACTTATACTATTTCCTGATGTTTTAAGTCATGTCTTGCCTTTGTACCCCAAAAGCAGCTGAGCATAGCAGTTTAAAGCACAGGTTTTAGAACCAGCTTGCCTGGGTTGAAATCCTGGCTCTGCCAATTTTTATCTGTGAATTTAGGCAAAGTGCTTCACCTCTGTGCCTCGGCTTCCTCGGCTGTAAAGGAATAATACCACACGCTTCGGAGGATTGTTGTGCTGGCTGCATGAGTCAATGCCCATTCCTGCACGCTTGGTAAGCCTGCGTTCCGTGTTTGCAGGGTTATTATTGCTGCAGAAGCTCTCTCCACCCATGCCTCAAACACACACAGTCTCTGCCCCATGTTCCTCCAACAGACTCACACCTCAGTTTTGGTCAAATCCATATTCAGCATTAGAACTATGTAAACACTGTTCTCAGATAAGGCACAAAGTGTACTATGATTAATTTCCTTTCTTGGACGACTTTTTGTTTTTCTTGGAAAAACAGCTTTGGCCTTTTCCTCCCTGCTCTTTGCTCAAGTTTCTCTGACAGTAATTTGGCCTCACATTTTCTGAAAGCTCTGTAAGAATCCTTCCAGCCTTGACCACCCATCAGTTCCATTTTTCCCTGCAGCCTTGGCTCCCGGAAGCTGTTCTGCTCCAGCCTGGGTACTGCATGGAGAGACATCGGGGGCATCCCTCCATGCCACCCCAGGTTTTCCTGAGCCCTGCCCCTAGGCCCCATGGCCCCTTCTTGGTTGACTCATTTCACTGAGGCTTACTATTTTACACCCTTGCTGACCAGCTATTTCAAGCCAGAACTCACCAGTGAGTCCAGCTACTTTGGTCAGCAAGGTGTTTAAAATTACTTAACTCGTGTCTGTACTTACATTAATTTATCTTGTGACCAATCAGCAAGGTGCTAACAGTGTGGCTGGGCAGAGAATTCTAGAAATAAGTAACTTCAGAACTGTAAAGGCACTTCTTGTCTTCTAATTCCTCAAGTTCTTGCTGGGAAGTCCAGGGACTCTGGAACCCACAGTCCTTGTTATAGGACTTGAGCTTCTCTCTCTGGAGGCCCTTAAGGTCCTCCTGTCTCCCTTGGATTCTGAGACTCTATAAGGATGTGTCTTCGTATGGGTTTGTTTTTTTCCATTCATTGTGCCAGGAATTTCCACCTGAAAACTCATTATCTTGGATCATGGGGCATTTTCTTCCCCAGCTTGCCTTCTGTTCTGTTTCTGGATCTCTAGTAGTCAGATGTTGCATTAATCTTCTACTATGCTCTTTATATTCTACTTTATTGTCCAGTTTTTCTCAATTTTTAAATATTTTTGTCATATTTATTTCCAAGATCTTTTTCTTGTTCTCTCATTTTGTTAGCATCCTGTTTGTTCACAGCATAATACCATCTCTCATCATCTTTGGGAAGATGTTATCATGAGCTTGTTTTTTTTGTTTTTTAAGTTTTCATCTTTCCCTGCAATGTCTGTATTTCTCTTAAATTCCTCTTTGTTTTAGTATGTGCTGCTTTAAAAGGTTTTCTTCAAAGGTCTCAGTAATCCTTGCCTGACTTTTCATATTATAAAGTGAGACAGCAGTCCCAGCCAGGTGCTTAGTTGGTTGGAGCGTCATCTCATACACCAAAAAGGTTGTGGGTGTGACTTCTGGTCAGGGCTCATACCTAGGTTGGGTTCAATCCCTGGTTGTGGCACATACCGGAGGCAACCAATTGATGTTTCTCACATCGATGATTCTCTCCCCCACACCTTTCCTCTCTTTCTAAAAAATCAATAAACTTATCATTGGGTGAGGATTAAAAGAAGAAGAAAAGACACCATATAGGAAACTGAACTCTGGGTGAGAGGAGGGAGACTGGTGCCTGGCAGGCCTTGTGTGAGGGCTCTGGGGACAGTTTTGATGGGCCCCCATATAACAGAATCTGTAGATATGAGACTTTCCCTTGATCCCCATATTCAAGGTGCCCCCTCACCCCCACCCTCAACTGGGCCTGGAGTTCCCGGTACCATGCCTCTTGCTCAGCCTCTCTTCTGCTCCTGCCGAATGTGCCAAACTTTTCTGCATTCTCGGCACCAGTCAAGTAGTTTATCGCTGGC